CGCTTCCCTCAGGGCGGGGCCGCCATCTTGAGCGCGGCCGCCATGTCGTGAGGGGCCCCGGGTTGGGGGGGGGCAGCGGTTTTAGTGCTAAATCTGCCTCTATTTCTTGGAAAAATAAACCCCTCATGAGTGTTAAATGATGTGGTTGTTTCGTGTCAGGCGTGTTCTGGGCGTGTGCGAGTTTAAATGAGTTGTTGCCAGTGAGACAAGGAGGGGGCAATGGGCGCAAAGTGGAACTCAGGGTTTTATTGAAATGTGAGGGGGGAAAAAAGCTTTTCCTCAGATAAAATAGTGATAGGACGAGGGGTGGTGGTTTTAAACTGAGAGAGGGAAGGTTTAGGTGAGAATTAGGAAGAAATCAGGGTGCTGAGGAGCTGGGATGGGTTGCCCAAGGAGGTTTTTGATGCCCCATCCCTGGAGGTTTTTAAGGCTGGGTTGGATGAGGTTTTGTGCTGCCTTTTTTAGAGGTTCCCTGCTCATAAGGGGGGTTGGAACTGGGTGAGCTTTGAAGTCCCTTCCAACCTTGATGATTCTGTGATTCTATAAACTTGTTGGCCTGGGAGGGTGACAGAGCCCTGGGACAGGCTGCCCAGGGAGGATGTGGAGTCCTCTTTTCTTGCCAAAGGAACTGGGTGAGCTTTGAAGTCCCTTCCAACCTTGATGATTCTGTGATTCTATAAACTTGTTGGCCTGGGAGGGTGACAGAGCCCTGGGACAGGCTGCCCAGGGAGGATGTGGAGTCCTCTTTTCTTGCCAAAGATTCCAGCCCCTGGATGCAGCCCTGGGTGATGTGCTCTGGGTGATCCTGCCTTAGCAGGGGAGTGGGACTGGATGGTCTCCAGAGGTCCCTTCCCTTGAAAACTGCAATCAGAGAGGAACACAGTTAGTACCACAGGCAGCACGGAGCAAGGACATCCTACAATAACCAGGCCCTAAAGAAGGTAGTTAATCAAAAGGCTTAGAGTGTGTCTCATGTAAATCACCAACTTGGCAGAGGAGACCTGAGGTCTACCTAAGGAATGCAGGAGGTGATAAAAAAGAACCAAAATCAAGAAGGTTCTTAGCCTAAACTAGTCTGAGGCAGTTGAAGCTGTAGACGTTGTGGTATTGTGTCCTTTAGGTGAACTTTGCTCATTATAATGTCATTATAATACTAAAAATCACACCCCCAGGTCAAAAAGACCTCCTGTGCTCCAGTTTGCACCCAGTGCCCCTTGTCCTGTCACTGGACATCACTGCACAAAGCCTGGCTCCCTCCTCCTGACACTGCCCTGAACGTGTTTGGAACCAGGGATGAGGTGGCCCCTCAGTCTCCTCTTCTCCAAGCCAAACAGACCCAGCTCCCTCAGCCTTTCCTCAGCAGGGAGATGTTCCCCTCCCTCCAGCATCTCTGTGGCTCTGCCCTGGGCTTCTCTTTTAAACCCCATCTTCCTTTTCCCAGCACACTAGGGCCTCTCTCACCTCCCTGTTACCCTCCATCCTGCCCCTGTGCCTACAGGGAAGGGAAAGTTCAGTCATTCCCCAGGCACCACTTGCTCTTTGCAGAGCAGCAGCCTGAGCTGCTCCCTTGCCAGCTGCAGAATGGGATGTTGACACCAAAATGGATCCAATTGTTTTATTATATATATCTTCCTGCATAATTCACCAGTTGGGCAGGCAGGGTAGTGGGGGGAGATATTTATAGACACTAGAAATGTCACCAGGGTGCTCATTCTTCATCCTTTGCAAATCATCACAGGGAAGATTTGGCTGCAAAAAGCTACAAGCAGAGAGTGAATAATTTGATGCTTTGGGGGG